AGAGTATAGAGTATCGCGTGTGTACCTGGAATATCCATTACAATTTCTGGACTATTTTTGCCTCTCCCTGATTGATGCTTGGGTCTATTTTTAGCTCGCTCGCTCCTTGCTGAAAAGTGGAGTATACGATTCCCGCCTTTGAGTGCACAATGTTCCATTCAGCGAATTTAGTGTTTCTGTTTGGTGTTGGTGTGTGTTTGTAAGTGTGTGTGTGTGTGTGTGTGTGTGTGTGTGTGTGTGTGTGTGTGTGTGTGTGTGTGTGTGTGTGTGTGTGTGTGTGTGTTTGTGTGTGTGTGGTGTGTGTGTGTGTGTGTGTGTGTGTGTGTGTGTAATTTTTGGCCTATATAAAGAGAGCAAGTGAGAAGGAAAGAAAGAATGATAGAATAAGAAACAGATATTGAAACAGAAAGAGAAAAAGAGAGAAAACGATAGATGGTGCGAACAAAAAAGAGAGAAAGAGAAACAAAGAAAGAAAGAGAAAAAAGACAAAAAGAGAGAAACAAAAGAAAATGAAGACAACAATTCACCGAGAGTTTTAGTGATGTATCGGCAGGTCTTGTCGAAAGTACATGCAGGCTGGAATGAGGAACCATCTGTAGAAACAATGGTCACAACTCGGCGTATGTGCTGGGAGGCATGCCGACTGGCTCTGTGGAATGGTGGAGGGTGGAGGAGTGCACAGAGAGAGAGAGGGGTGGGGGGAGAAAAGAAGAAGAAGAAGAAGAAGAAGAAGAAGAAGAAAGAGAGAAAGAGAGAGGGATGGAGTGATGGAGAGAGAGAGAGAGAGAGAGAGAGAGAGAGAGAGAGAGAGAGAGAGAGAGAGAGAGAGAGAGAGAGAGAGAGACTGTTTCTTTGGCCAGTGTAGGGTCATACGTCAGATAAGTCGGACCCACTGCACGTTAGTCATTTGATGCATTCAATACATTACTATTTGAAGGCGGACCAAACAATGGTGGCCCAAACAGTGCAGTGCAACTATATTAAACTGACCCACTTTGCTTCTTCAAATTTGACCTGGAAGTCCACTTGGGCCTATCGCATTCCGCACGCTAACCAAACATCTGACTTCACAATGCATAGTGATGCTTATTTGTCCTACATGTAGCCTAAATAAGGTCAGCCTAATAATTTTATAGTAAAGGCTTTTGTTTGAGGACGTCTGTTTTAGTATTTCTTATAGAAGAATAAACGATCGTGTAATCGCTGTTTTCAAGCTTCTAAATCGTACTTGTGAGCGATTGATGGATTTGTGTTTCTTAGGAATCGTTTAAAACACAAAAGATTACCTTTACAGTTCTCAAATCGTGATGTCTTCTTTTAACATTCTTTCCACCCCACCCCCCCAAACAAAAGGAATCAAACAATAACACAAAGAAAACAAAGAAATCGGTTTTCTCAACGTGTAACATCTAACAAAGAACGGATGAGAATTCGGATTAAATAACAATAATAAACAAATCTGCTCCGTGGCGCAGAACAAATCCTGTCCAGATGTTTCAGAAACCCCGAGGGGGAGGCGGTGTAGTGAGAAAAAGGAAGCGGAAGTTATCACCTGTTGTCTACAGATGTCTATCAGATGTTTGCCGCCCGGGACACGAAGGCACTACTGTACAGGTCTCAGAGTAGGGAAAAGAACTGACCGTGTAAAGGTGACATCGCTTAAATAACCGACATTTTATGAAACAGGGCGGTTAAATGAATAGCTGCTAAAATATTGACTCCCTCAGTTCAAATGCTGTCATTATCATTTCTAGTTTCAGTTTTCGTAACGTTTTACGGCACTTGTAACACATTTAGGTCATGTATAAGTTCCAAAGATTAGAGGTGTTGCAAGAGAGCAACAAACACAAAAAGAAGGAGAGATAAGGATCAAAGAGGTTTAATAGGAAAGAAGGAGCAGACCACACTAGAGCACCCGTCAAACACTCGCTTACCATTTCTGTACGCCCCCATGCCCTACTCCTTCCTCCCTAACCACCCCCCCTCCCCCTAAAAAAAATCTTCCCGATGGCCTACTGGAGACAGAAACTGACACCACTGTAACTTGGGCAAAGGCTAAAAAAACCCCAAACACTGAGAGTGCAAAAATGTTGTTTACTTTCGTAGACAGTTATATCCCCAGTCTAAGGCTGAGGGTGTTCTTTTCAGAACAATGGCGTTATTATGACACTGCTGTGCCCTCATATGACACCTCACGAAAATATTGAGGTTTTAGGAACTCTCGTTTCATCTCGATAATTTCTACAACCTGTAAACCAATATTTGTAACGGACAGGAAGACAACACACTTCAAGGGAAGACAACGCACCTGCATGGGCAGACATCACACTCAGAGGGAAGACAACATGCGGGAAGACAACACACTCCAAGGTGAGACAACACACGGGAAAACAACACGCTCCAAGGGAAGACAACACAAGGAAAAAAAGCACGCGAGGAGATAACTCACGGGAAGACAACACACTCAGAGGGAAGACAACACACTCAGAGGGAAGACAACACAAGGGAATACAACACACTCCAAAGAAAGACAACACGCTCCAAGGGAAGACAACACACGGGAAAACACAGGACTCCAAGGTAAGACAATACACTCAAAGGGGAGACAACACACTTGCATGGAAAGATAACACACTCCAAAGGAAAACGCTATGTGAGAAGACAACACACCTCTGAGGGAAGACAAAACATGAGAAGACAACACACCGCCATGAAAAGACAAAACAAATCCACAGGAAGCCAACACACCTCCATATTGCTCATTACACAGACGTCGAACTCGTCAATAAAGCGGTTTTCGCTCAAAGTCATGAACGAGAACAAGGAAACGACCTCAGGTGACTGCTCTTTACACGCAAAACAAACTTTGCAAAACATTCAGGAGCGCTCTTTAGAATTGCAGTGGAGTCCGCTTAAACAGAAAACTTCAGGCCCACCGGATTTGTTCGGTTTAACCGGGTATTCAGTTTTGGGTGGTTGTTCAAATACGTAATATAAGGGAAAAAAATCGGGGATTAAATTTTTTTCCTCTGTTGACCTCTGTTTTAGGATTGTTTGTATTCGGTTTAAACAGACTCCGCCTAAAGTTACTTTTCCACACGTCATGCCGCCGTATACGAGATATGCAGCATAATATAGATGGACAGAACTAATTGCCCATTTGTTCAACTCGTCTCTTAAGTGTGCGTCAATGAGACAATGACATGAAATTGTCTATGAACGCTATGTGATTGCAGTAATGCCTTACCCATGAAAACTTAACATGGTTTTTAAAAAAATTAAAGGAACATTAATTAATGCTACTTTCTAAGATACAGTTTTCAAACTTTTAACGTGAAGTCGTTTTAAATCTTTTTTGTTTTTTGATCTATACAACTTTTGGATTGTGTAACTCGCAAAGTTAACCGGGAATGCCTAACCAGATTTTCAAACTTTCGACTTTTCGATCAGCCTCAAAAGAATATTTTTTAAAAAATACCTTCCGAAAGTTTGACTTTTCCACTAACTTCACGGGAATTTAAAACAAATATTTTCCTTTCAAATATTCAACTTTTCCCTCGAACTTCACATTACATGTACTTCAAAATACTTTTGCTTTCATGTATTTGAGTTTTCCACCCACTTTCGAAGAATTTCAAACAATATTCCCTTCAAATCTTTGACTTTGTCTTCAACTTCAGAAGAATTTCAAGCAATAGCCTGACTTACCTGGCTGGCACTGGGTGCCGTTGAGGTGTGAGAAGTATCCGGAGAGACATGCGCACTGACCGTCGCAGTAGCTGTGGGCCACCGACTGAAGACATTGGAGGTTGTACGTGCACTCGTCCTTCACCTTGGTGGGTACTGAGGGTAGATAGAACGGGGGGATGGGAGAAGGAGGAGGATGAAGAGGTGGAGGAAGAAGTTGAAGAGGAGGAGGTGGAGGTTGAAGAGGAGGAGAAGGCACAGGAGGAGGAGGAGGAGGAAAAGACAGAGGGGGCAGAGGAGGAGGTGGAGGAGGCACAAGAGGAGGAGGAGGAGGAAAAGGAGGAGGAGGCAAGGAGGAGGAGGAGGAGGAGGAGAAGGAAGGGAGGCGGACGAGGGGGCAGACGAGGAGGAGGCGGAGGCAGTGGAGGAGGAGGAGGAAAACGAGGAGGAGGGGAAGTAGGAGGAGGAGAAGGCGGCGGAGGAGGAGGAAGAGGCGGTGGAGGGAGAGAGAGAGAGAGAGAGAGAGAGAGA